TGCACAAAACTGTATCACGAGAAGAAATTATCAATCTTAGGGTTATAAAATCAAGCTATGATTCAAATATGACACTTTTAATGAGTATATCTCACTTTTTAAAAATTAAAATAATGATATTTTCGATATAAAATGAAAATTGTTTATGAAATAAATATATAAATTAATATTTAGATGTTGGATATTTAAATACATAAAAATTAACTGATATATATATAAATATATGTAAATGGCCTTTTTCATAATTATTGATGTTCTAAGATTGATTTATCAATTATCAGATTAGAAGTAGTCAAGGAGACCAGGAAACACGCTGCTGCAATTTATGGAAAAAGAGAGCCATTCCTTCTAGAAGTTTTCTTCTAGAAGCTCATTCTGGTTAGCTTGCGGGGCCCACGACTCTTATAAGCCAGCCAATAGTTTGTTTCAGATAGCTAATGGCAGCCTAATTTAATTAAAATTTTATTATTTTAACCACTAAATAATTCTAAATATTACCTTTCCGCGCAGCACAAGGAATAAAAATAAAAACTATATTCACACCCTAATCATGCCCGCCAATCACTCATTAAATATTTCGCTGGTGATAATAAAAATAAAAATGTTTGCTGGTTACGTAAGAGTAATTCTAGAAAAAAATATTAAATCATGCTCCACATAGAGCTACATATGGAGTCCAATGAAATTATGTCATAGAGGTGATCGACCCGGTAACACAAGGGAATATTCTTCTATTGTCATTCAGGTGTTATTGTGTTATTGTGTGTTATTCATGCCATCGAGATAAACGACCAGATAATTATTTCATGTTATTCAAATGTTATTGTATTCTGAGAATATTCTCGGTGTTATAATAACACAATAACCCCATAAATAGGCACAATAACACATCATCAATACTTGAATAACACACAATAACACCTGAATAACACGAGGGGAATATTCCCTGTGTTACCGGGCCAATCGCCTCTACGGCGCAATTTCATTAAACTCGCATGTAGCTCTACGTGCGGAGTCCTGATGTAATATTTTTTTCCGTAATTTTTTCTCAACAAAATAATAGAAAATAAACTTTCAGGTTAGGTCAGGGGCATTTACATAAAAACCTGTATATTTTTATGTATATACTTTTTGAGCACCTAATTTTTTTCCCTTAATTCATACCACCCAAAACTTTCATATCACATTAAAAATATTACTATTTAAACGTTTATACATAAAAAACAAATTTTCATGCATAAAAAATGTGGTGTATAAATAAAAATTTTTTAATTTAGGTGTTAGATGTGTAAATATATGAAAATTGAGTGGTATTTATGTAAAATGTTTATAAAATCATGAATCTGCCATAAAAATATAAAGAAAGTTTGCATACATAACATGCAATTCTTATATATAACTGTTATAATACTACTCTTAATTATGGTAATGACATATTTGTGATTTCCTTGTGAGCTTCTATGGTCTACTTGTGGGGGGCTATAATAGATGAGGGAGAGACTTGTAAGAGAGGGGGAATAATACTACAAGGGAGAAGACAGACTTATAGGGAATAGACTACTACAAGAGAAGAATATTGACTTGTAGAGGATTGAGACCAGTATAAGGAGGAAGATAGAAATCAGACCAAGAAGATAAAGGAAATCAGCCTAAGAAGAAGAAGAAGGGGAGAGACTTCAAGAATTGAGTGAGGAGTCTTAGATCTTGTATCGAGGTAGTTTTGAGGGAGAGAGATCGAGAGGATTAGTTATTCCTCAATGTAAAAGGAAGCCTTGTAATTCTTCTTTGCTTTAGTGGATTGATAGTTGATTCTCTCCGTGGATGTAGGTCTATTGACCGAACCACGTAATTGTTGTGTTCTTGTGTTTGTGTCCTCGTCGCATATGCTTCCTGCAGTTTTCTTTTCCTTGTTTCTCCCCTCCTCTTTCGGCAGCCCAGGTTCTTGAAGAGAAAGGGTAACAAGATTGCAACCTGCAGATAGTTGTTCGTTTCTTGGAGGCTCTGCAAGAACTGAAAGACTGTCCAGTTCTTTAAAGCTTTGCAGGTTCTTCGTGTTCTTGGTGATCATGAGCCGCACGAGTTCATTGGAATTTTCTCTTGGTGTTTGGCGGGGCAAGAATTCACAACAATAACACTTAAATTTTAATTTTTACATACCACCTTATTTATATATGGAAAAAAATATATTTCATTTTTTAATAATTAAAATGACGGTATTTTTTTATGTAATATAAAAATTTTGGGTGATATAAATGTCCCGAAAAAACTATATCACATTATATGTTAAGTGATTTTAAGTGATAAAGAAAAAAATAAAAAGAATTTCTAAGGAAAAAAAAATAAAATAGTGGTTAGTTTTTTTTAGTAATTATTATTTATATTGATATCTAAATGAAAAATATTATAATTTTTATTGTAATTATCAAATTTATTATAATATAAAAGTATATGAGAAGAGCTTAGCATGATTGCTTTCCATGCCTCATTGTCAACTTATGGAAAAATAATAAAAAAATAATTTAAATTATTGTAAATATAATAAACAGATGTATCATAATTCAAGAATAATACCTTCAATTTTCTTACCATTAAATTCTCTTCTAATTAGCCATTAATTTTAAGGGATAATTACATACATAACAGCTGAAATATTGTTATTTATCGAATCTAAAACCTAAATCGATGTATTTACACGTGTCACAATTAAATCATCGAGAAATTGATAAAAATGAAAAATATTGGCTGAGGTTTTATAATGAATTTTGATATTTGAATGAGAATTTGAAAAACAGTTGTGTTTCGGGTGTTATGCATGTAATTGGCCCTAATTTTAAATTAGGATTTTTCTTTAAATATTTATTTTCTTATTCTTTTTTTTTTCAATTAATTGATTTTATTTTAAAAAAATTGAGAAGATGTCCCGTTTCATCAATAAAGATACATAATTATTTTTTTTAATATCTGATTAATAACAAGAATTTAATATAATTAATTTACGTGTTTACCACTTATTTCCTTTCTAATTATTATAAATCATATGAAAAGAAAAAGTTAGTTTAATAAATTATACTTCTATGACATCATACATCTCTCTCTTAATTTTGCCAAAAATTCCTCTTATTCTTCCCTTTTTCACCCTTTTTTTGGGGTCCACACTCTCGTTTCTCTTTCACATCTCTTTCTATGTGTCTATCTCACATCTCTCTAGGCAAATAGGGGAAAATATCACATCAGGACTTCTAACGTAAAGTTACGTTTGAAGTCCGCTGATAACAGACACATGAAGGTGACAAAAAAAAATCGTTTTAGCGTAGGGAAATATTTCTCCCGTGTTATTCCACATTATTCAGGAGTTATTTTGGTGATATTCATGTGTTCTTGTGTTATGGGAATATTCCAGATGTTATAATAATACAATAATACATTAATACCGCCACAATAACATATGAGAAATATTATCTTGTGTTACCGAGCTGGATCATAGGAAAACGCGTGCGTTTCCTTGAAACTACGTGCCCACATCAGTGGAAGGTTAAAAGAAAAGGAATTTACATTAATACCATTTAATTTTTATAAATTTACATGTATAAATTTTAAAATTTTAATGTAAACATATATGTCACTAAAAATTTTTAATATTACATCTGGAATATCACTACTATTAACTTTTTAAAAGAAGCCACAATTTTAGGTGTTAAATATATAAATAAATTTGAATTATGAGATATTTATTGTATATTTCTCTTAAAAATATTTATTTCCAAATTATTAAAGTCAAATGATGACTTCGCTTTCACTTAATCCATTATTCATTTTATGTCAATTTCATTTCGAATTACTTCACTATAAGTGCTACAATTGGGAACAAAAAAGCTACATTGCTAAATCAAGTAAAATACTTGTCTCTGCATAATGTACGAAATACTTCCAATTTTTGAAGTAAAAAAATAATTGTATTTTGATAACGACATTTACAAATAGTCGTCCCGAAAAAGTTATCGTCGAATCTAATCTATAATGTGGTGTAACACATTGCACAGTATTTAGGATATTTCTTTACTATGTATTCGGGATGCTTCGTTAAAAAGTCATCAAATATATTATGAGTTTTAAGTAGCAACTAAGTTCTTAAGATTCTCGTGCGAGTGACACTGCAACGAAGCAACCAATTTTTTAAAATTTAATTCATATTTTTTTAATAAATAAAATGTTAATTTTAAAACACTTATATCATTTATAGCTTGGGCAAAGTAAGAAAAGGATTTCATGAAAGGGTATGAATAAGGCAGAAACGTGAACGGAGAAAAGACAGGCTGAAGAACTAGGAAAGAAGGGAATGAAGAAGGCAGAAACGTGAACGGAGAAAAGACAGGCTGAAGCTGAAGCTATCGAGCGTTAAGTAAATTGTGTTATATAGACGAGAAAAAAAAATTAAGAAGGTATATAATATTATTATTTTATAACTAATGTGAATTATACGTTTAATAACTAAATTTATAATATTTTAATAATCATGAGTTAATTAAAATTAAAAATTATAATGGATTTAATTTACTATTGATTCGATGATAAAATAATTTTTAATTAATAAATTTTAAATAAATAATATATCATATATGATATGAGCTGTTATCAAGTATTTAATAAGTTATTTATTGAATAATAAATAAATAAGATAAATTATGTTAATGTTTAATTTATTTTAAGTTCAAATATTTGATTTAAAATACTTCAAAATTTATTTATTTACAAATTTAATAAATACGATCAAATATTAATTGAATCATTTCCATTGGTCATTTGCAGGCCTAGGTGGGGGTAAAAATATTATGTGTAGATATGATGTATGCAAATTAGATGTGGATGGTTTAAGACCATGATAAATCACGTGATCGAATTCAGGCATCACGTGACTGAGTGGGTTGCGCGGGAAATCAAGCCGCGCGGTTGGAAGTGGAAGCTAGCCTCAGCAGCGAGGCTTCTGTCGCAAATAACAGAACCCTAGAAGCCCTGGAAAGAAGGAGAAATCCTTACAATGGAAGACACATCAAAGCCAAGGCGTAATTTTCCTGCATTTCCATTTGAGCCGTATTCGATCCAGGTCGATTTCATGTCCTTCCTTTACGAGTCGCTCGACAGAGGCGGCATCGCCATGCTCGAAAGCCCGACAGGTACTCTACTCTCCATTCTTCGCCATCTTCATGCCAATGATATCGCCCGTTTACGATTTCTATTTGTCTCCAAACAATTCCGTGGCAGGGACTGGCAAAACCCTAAGCATCATTTGCAGCGCGCTCCAATGGCTGGTTGATCGGCGAAAGCGGCAGCAGCAATGCGAAAAGACTACGGAAACTGCGAACATTGGTGATGACGATGATGAGCCGGACTGGATGAGAGATTTTGTTGTTTCAGATGCTCAAAAGGAGGAGAAACGAGGGAAGCGATTAGGGTCGGGACATGGGGATGAGGGGAAGAAGAACCCCTTATCAGCGATCGAGAGCGAGGTTAAACAGTCTGAAAGTCTCACTGGAGATGATGATGTGGAGTTTTTGTTGGATGATTACGAGAGTGAAGAGGAGGGTTGTGATAATGTCTGTAGAGGATCGAAGAGGAAAGGAGCGCGATGTTTAGATTCCAGCAGTAGTGATGAAGATATTGAGGAGGAGAAAGAGAAGTCTCCCAAGGTATATTTTACGAGCAGGACCCATTCTCAACTGTCACAGTTTGTGAAAGAGTTTAAGATGACTATCTTTGCTTCAGAGCTTAATCTTATCTGCCTGGGCTCCAGGAAGAATCTTTGCATCAATGCCGGTGAGTGGTGCAGTTATCTTCTATGATTTTGGGGTTTGGCTACATTGTGGGATTTATTTGTAACCTCTTTTAGATGTTCTGAAGCTGGGGAATGGGAACCGGATTAATGAACGCTGCTTAGAGCTGCAAAGAAATAATAGCAACTCAAAAATCAAGGTTCATTTTATTTGTTATTGGAAAAATAATGTTTTTTTTTTAATCGCAAGGCTTCTAGCTTTTTTACTTTATTTGAATTCCATGCTTTTAAATCTAGCCAAACGCATTCAGCTTCAGGGTCTCTCCCCGGCAGTTGCAGCGGTTTGAATAAACAACTTAGTTGTTGTTCAAAAAACTGCGATGACCATCACAAATTTATTCTAATTTCAAAATGTAAGACCACAACTTTTTGGTAGTAACCATACTTTAACAGATTATTTTGAAAAAAAAACAGCTTTCTACAACACAAATTTCTAGAAAACAGTTCCCAAAGAGAACAACGGTGATGGTCTGAAAAACAAAGCAACCAGAAAGCTGTCCCAAATAGACCCTCAACCATGATAATTTTAAGCAAAAGCCGATTGTTGGGTCATGTGGGCATTAACACTACCCATGACTTCAACTTAGGCATGTTTGGAAACAACCCATAACCAACAGGACTTTTAATTTTTCTAAACTAGTCAAACCCAACACAAGTGGCAATTTTCCAGTCCAACTGTAGGCCGACTTGGAGTAAAGCTTATGATAACACAAGATTTCCTTTAATAAGTTTGAATTGAAATGAACTTCTAAATTAAATGAAGATGAGACAATAAATATATCAGAGATAACCAAGGCAAGTTTATATTGTCCAATGAGACCCACTTTTATCCATGACTGGATTGAAATCAAGTATTTAACTATGCTTCAGAAGAGGACTGCATCAATGATTCTCTTCATACAAAGTTATGGATGATAATAGATATATCAGTTTACGTCAATGATTGAGACTGAGGGCTGTACGTGGAAAGGGTGTTGTTATTGCTATTACACTTTTTCTTTGTCGCGGGAGTCCAAATGAGAGCTTTTCCTTGATATGATTGAAAGCTTCTCTTTTTGAATTAATTGTTACTTATGATATCTTCTTATCCTCGAAGAAATAGATACCCTCCCAAAGTCAACAAAGGATCATATCTTGGAAATATCAGTTCAATGTCTATAATAAATATGAGAGCTCAATCGTATCTTAAAATTGTTCTATAGGAGAAATGTTGATTCTAAAAATTTAACATCAATAAGGTCATGGTTAGTTTTCTATTATTTTAAAATAGGGTAAATAATATTTCCTCATTTACAATGTTTTTAAAACTATCTTCCCTCTTTCAAAAAATGATAAATTACAAGGAGGTTTATGCAAATGACCTTTAATATTTTTTGGTTTCCACTCAACACCGGAACATGCCACTATTTTCTCTTGAAGTTTCTTTGCTTTAAGAGCTATGCAATCCTGTGGCTAATTTGTAGTAATGCAATTACCTGAGAATAGAAACATTGCATTTGAGATTTACTTGAGGTAGCAATAACTTCTAGTAATATCAATTTCTGAAAAGTTTGGAACTTTTTTGCTGCATGTTTCATTCTCTATAGAATCAACAATATCAAAATGTACATTTCTATAATAAGTAATGAACATAAGTACTCATGGTGATGATAGTGTGATACACAGGTTCAACATGATAATAGGAGGTCGCTCCGTCCTAAACATTCATGTGGTTGCCCAATGTTGAGAAAGCATAATTTACGAAAATTATTCAAGGATAAAATTCGAGAACTTGGTGCATTGGACATTGAGGATCTTTATCAACTGGGCAGCAAAATTGGAACTTGTCCATACTATGGTTCACGCGACATGATTCGAGCAGCTGATCTTGTCGTACTCCCATACCAGTCCCTTCTCCAGAAATCTTCTCGTGAATCGCTTGGTCTAAAACTGAAGAATAACATTGTAATCATAGACGAGGCACATAATTTGGCCGACTCACTCACAAATATGTACAATGCAAAGATTACTTTGTCCCAGGTATGGTTCCACTATTGATTTGCTTTTGCTATGTTATCAATGGCTGAGGTAGTCTTTCAGAACAGTAATTTGCTGTTTAAGTAAGCGAATTTATATATAGACGTTCTCAATTTGAGGATGTCTTGGTCATGTGTACTGCTGTTATTCATTGATCAGCAAATTTACAAAGTTTAATATTTTGTTTTAATCGACCATCAATTTTTTATCAGATAACTTTTGCCACTTGCAGTAATTTTTCTTTTAGTAGCATTTTATCATAAAGTTTCTTGCTAAAAAGTTTTATTTTCTTAATTTTGCTACTAATTGTGATAATAAAAGGTGCTCTTTTAACTTCATTTTTACGTACCTGAAATGTTAAAAATATGCCATTCTTCAACTGAAATTTATTCACCCTTTACATTTCTCCCATTCCTAGTTGAAGCAGGTTCTGTCCCACCTCAAACTTTACCTTGACAAGTTTCAAAGACGCTTAGGTGCTGGGAATCGACGATACATCCTGACTCTGATTGTGGTAACAAAGTCATTTCTTCGATTATTGCTAGGCGATCAGGTTGATGACTCCAAATTTAGTGCTTGTCTGACTGAAACTGCAGCTCTTGATGAACATGTTGGTGATGTTTCAATGACCATAAATGAATTCTTATTTTCTCTTGATATTGATAACATCAACTTTGTCAAACTTGTTCATTATGTGAAAGAGAGCAATATTGTTCACAAGGTATTTTTCATTTTTCTATTATTTGTTAGCTGCTGTATTTTTTTGGTTAAATGCAATGGCTGTGTATTTACTTTGCAGGTCAGTGGATATGGGCAGAAAGTGAGCTCACAAAATGGATTGGGAGATGCTGATAATCAGAAGATCAGTATGGAAGGAAGCTTTGTGTCTAGCTTCCAGGCTTTAGCTGACGTTTTACTTCAACTAACAAGTAAAGACAGTGAAGGAAGAATAATACTATCTAGGCAAAGGTTGCCAAACTCAAAGCATATAGGAGAAGCTTATCTTAAATATGTCATGCTTTCAGGGGATAGGATCTTTACTGAGGTTTTGCAAAATTTTTTGATACTCTTCTTTCTAGAAATTTACTTTTCGGAAGATTTTTTTCAACATAATTCTGAAATAAAAATATGCAGATTATGGATCAAGCACATGCTATTGTTCTGGCTGGAGGAACCATGCAGCCTATTGAGGAGAGCAGGGTACGTCTCTTCCCTGACCTCTCCATTGATCAAGTGCAATTTTTCACCTGCAAACATATTGTTCCTCCAGAGAGTATTCTCCCAATTGTAGTTGCTTGTGGACCCTCTGGGTTGACTTTTGATTTCAGCTACAATTCCAGAAGTTCTCTAAGCATGGTAAGGATCTTCTTCTCCTGTTTGCTTACTCTCATCATGAAGTGTGAGTTATGTTGGATTTATCCGTTTGCTTCAGCTACTAGGCAAAAAAAAAGTACGTTTAATTTATGTGATCTTCCACAGTTTCCTTGTGATTATCAAGCTTTCAATTTATTGATTTTCAAATTAGAAGTTTTTTCTTTACACCATAAAGTTTGGCTCAAAAAGACCCATAGTCTCTATGAGGTTAAATAACTAAAAAGATGACACTAAGACACAAATGCCAAGAGTATGGTAACAATGAGATCAATGCCCAAAGAAGATGGCGGAAAATGGCAAATGTTGAGAGGATATTAGCAAGCAAGTTGAGCAGGAGCTGAGAAGCCGAGAGCAAAAAAAATTGCCAAAAATTTAACGCCAACGGATTAACACTGATGATTCTATAAAATGAAGATTCTAAGGATACAAAAAACACTACCAAAATTACTGTTCTACAAGCCAATACTGAAAAGAATGTCAACCACTCATACTTCTCAAAATATGCTAAAAAACTAGTCAAAATAGTCAGCCCAACAAGCAACAATGCTGATTGGGAATCACCAAGGATTCTAGACTTGCTACAGCCAATCTATAGTGGTTCACGAAGTTTCTAAGGATCGTGGAGACCTAAGAATGTGTGAGGTAAGGCTTTGAGCCAAGGCTAGATAATTATAGACTAGACTCAGATTTAAATTTACTAATCTATAGTTTAGGTTTGGGCCAAGGAAGCCTTCCTAGTTTTTTAAGGGCCTAAGCTCATCTACTAGGTTCTTAATAGGAAGATCCTCTAGAGAGAATAAATCTAGCTAAGTATATTCAGCTCCAATATATTCTGGTCCAAGGGTTTGTCTGACAACGCTTTGCCTTTGAGAAAAGTCCGTTTAAAAGCAACGTCCCAATAAGCTCCATTTTTGAAACAGTGGAATGATGGGCGACAGGGCTGAGGAGGTGGAGATCTCACGTTCTAAAATGGTGGAGAAATGCCTCTACTGTAGACACAACTCACGAAGACGAAATGAATCAAACAGACGCGAAGGACTCTGTGGCCATTCTCTGCCATGCAACGAAGGATAACCTCGCTCCCAAATGGGGCCTAAAGCTAGTACTTGGATGCCAACCAAGCTGAGCTTTAAGGATTGTTTGTAGTTGGATTAAGGTTAAGGCTTAAGAGATCGGGTCAAAGAAGAGGTCAACAAAAATACCATACGCCCTATATGAGCTTGAAATGGATAATAGTCTAACGATTTATATTATTTAACGACAAATAAATTCAAAAAATCAAAATTCACATTATTACTAATGGAACAAACAAATTTCTCAAGTTGAACTTCAAATCATGAACTTTGTCCATTAGAAAATAAAAAAATAGATACAGAAACCCTGTGAATTCAAGACCACTTGCTAACTGTTCTTGACTTATTTTTCGTCAAACTTGGTGGACAATAAAAGTCTCTTTTTTGATCCTTCTCTATTGGTCCAAACTATTTCTTTAAATTGTTAAAATTCTTTTGTTTGAGCCCTTAAAATTTGTTGTGCTTTTTTTCCGCTCTAAGGTTTTTTTTTTCCCTTTAGAAGTGTCACCGCCTCCTTTTGTCCTAGAATATTGACCTCTTAGAGAGCATCAAGGAACATGAGTCTTAGCTTGTTGGTGTCATCGATCATTTTGGGGACAAATATAACATCTTTTTGCCTTCTTTTCTTCTCTTTATGTGTTATTCCTTGATCACTCCTATCTTGTTGGAGCATACACTTTGAAATCTCCTAGTTTGCCATCCTTTGGTTACAGAGAAGGCTGACAATATTTTAAAAATGCTTTAGGCTGTACATTGTCTGCCAATTATCTCCTCTATAGTTAGGAATATGATATTGTAATGGATTGCTATTGTGAATTACAGTTCATATCTTTGATTTTGCGGCCAGTTTCAGCTCAAATTTTTTAAAGATAGATTAAATAGAAGACAAGACAAACTAGGGCTTTCACCGTTATTTTGTGAGAACTTTAGGTTTGGGGTTTCCCATAGATTTTTCTGACAACAGAAGAGCATTTTCGATTAAAGGTAGTCATTATTTGTGCCAAGTGTTCTAGTTTTAGCATATTGTAACAATGGATTTAATTTTTGAGATTATGAATTATTATTGTGAGCTTAAAGAGGATGGTGAGAGGAATAAGGACGAACTCGATCAAGATTCACCTATGATTTCATCATCGCATATTGCCTTGGTTCCCAGTTTATTTAGTTAGAAGTAGTCAACCCAACCCGATCGAATGATTCTTGTTGATAGCCATAAATTGCTTTGTATAAGTGGATCTTGAAGACTTGTAGGGGATGTTTGTCTAAAGGGATAAATTAAGTTAATTTTACTTAACAGATGACTTTTTGCCATATCAGATACACCTTATGATTACAACTCAAATAAGCTATTGGGGAATGTACATGTCATAACTGTATTTGTATTATAATGGAGCATGTTTGGCCTACCTAATCGTCTTGTTAGAGGGCTCTCTGATCATAATCACTTCATTTGTTGAGCTAATTGATTGAACTATACAGAATGAGGACATGAGCACACATTTACTTGCATTAGATTGTTTTGTGTGCAAAAATGGTGATATATTCAATATAATATTTTCTCATTTTGAGCCCCCATTAAACTTGAATTTGCTTCCATTAACAAAATTTTGTAGAATGTGGATTGGGTTTGTTCATAATTTTTACTGATAGATGCCATCTATAAATATTTTTGAATTCTTATATTTTGAAAACTTAATTTTATAACAAAATCCCTATGGTTATTATTTTCATTTAACATGACAATCATTCAGGGTTATAATTATTTACGTTATAGCAATTTTAAATTTATAAATACATTAGTCTTGTCAACTCCAACCATTATTAGAAGAATGATCAAGTTAGCTGATTTGGGAGCTTAATCTTTTCATTTTTAGTGACTATCTGGGTGGGGACCAGATTGGCTAAGTGAAAGTCCAATTTTGTCAACTCCAATCGTTGTTGGGAGGAGGATCATGTTGGCTAATGAGGGGGCTTAGTCTAATTAACCTCGGTCCTCATTAAAGGATCAAATTAACCAACGCGGGACTTGCAATTCTGCCCTATAGATAAGACGATCCACCTGAAAGCATACATAATAATTTTAAATTTAGCTTTTGAAAAACTAATTCTTGCGAAGAAAAAAAATTAAGGTTGATTTTATTTTATTTTAAACTTATATTCACCTCATGAACGTTAGTTAAGGCACATCTGGATGTCAAATTTTTATAATATGCACACCTCTCAATGTAGTTGTACAATGCACTTGCACGAATTTTAGTGCATTGTGAGGTACTTGAACATAACTTTAATGTATATTTTTGTTGATGATCATGTAATGTATGCTTTTATGTTTACTGCCATCGTTTTAAAAGGCGTGCATTTTAACTATAATGGGGCGAGGCATAGGCCCCAAAATTTTGGACGTAAGCCCCATGATATAAAAAAATAAGTAATTAGATATTAAAAGACAAAATAAATTAGTTGTGCTTAATAAAAAAAATTATTAAGAGACATCATAATTACTTATGCTCATTAAATTTCAAAAAAGTCTTCTAGGATTAGAATATTCAAGATGTTAGCCTAAATCCACTACAAAAAGAGAAAACATAAAAAATAAGTAAACATGCTTGAACCAAAAAATAAATTTGTGCTCAACTAATCTCAATCCTTGAATGTTATTCATTCTTTAAATTCATCCTCAAAATCTACTTTTTCTTCATGACTAGTTTTGTTCAAATCATAATTAAGTTCTTGATATATCTGAATTAATTGTCCATTTCATTAAAGTCACGATCATGCACATTCTCAGGTGCATTCACAGTTTGTTTCTTGTAATTATTGCCTAAATTATAAAAACAAATAAAATAACATTCGTTAATATTTATGATTTTTTTATAAGAATGCATAATTATGTAAAGTAAAGTTAAATGTAAATATGAAACTTATTCTTTCATTCAGTTTTTTTTTCTATAAGAATATGTTATAAAAATATCCTTTCTTTATTGTGTAATATTTTATGAATTTTCATTTGTATTAGTTATGAGTACATTCTGATTACATCGACATCATATACGTGCTTTTCTTAATTCAATCTCTTGTGCGCCAACCTATTCTTATTCTTAGTATGAATCGAAGATAAAAAACATTATTCTTAAGAGGTGATTATGAAAACAAATAATAATAATTTTAAGAAATAAAAAAAATATTACCGATTTAAAATTGTTTGAATTTTTTGTACAATCTGGCGAAATGTAGGTGAAACTAAGAACTTGAATAACAAAATTCGTTTGCTTAAGTGTTTTTTCACCAAATCTAATTCACTAATCAGCAAGAGATCTTAACTTTCTTGAGTCAATAACAACTTTATTCCCAAAGTCTCCTATTAAATTATCATACAAGTCTAGTTGGATATCAACTCTAAGACAATCTTCATAATCCGACTTTCTTTCCATACAAGTAATTAACCTTTCTTTCACCTCTTTTCTTCATTACAAAAAATATCTTCAAAGCAAAATTATGTTTAACTTTCCATCTTGCATCAATTTTCTTCATGTTAAATAATAACTAACCGCATGTGGTGGTTTTTGAAGTTGAACTTTCCATCTTGCATCAATTTTCCTCTAAACAGGTCCACACTTCTTCTTATTATGTCCACAATTAAAAGTATAGTTTTTTTTAGCTGGATCCATTAACTAAATACAATTCATGATGACCTTTCTACCTAGTCAACCTCTCTTAGGCATTTACACGTGGTACAATACTTTTGTTACAGTAAGTAAGAGGACCTCAAAAATATGGATCAAACAAAATAAAAGCTCGAGCTTTTGTACATTTTGTCTTGTTAGCCTATTAACTAAAACACTAAACTTCTGAGGAGAACATTGTCTGAAGTGGTTGCTTCTGCTTGTAAATGCTTTGAAGCATCAAATA